TTAAAAGACAAAATAATGCCACATGGTTCATCTAAGAAATAAACCTCCCTGTGAATGCATTTTTAAATGGAAGACCCATTCAAATTCCACAAACCTAGGAATAAAGATATTGGGTGCTCCTGAGGGCGATGGGGCTGAGACCCACAGAGCCTGAGACAGTATATTTGGCTTTCTCTGACTTCTTTGTTCCTTTGTCCCGTCTGGTAGAGAGAGCCATGTTAAAACATAAATTGTGGGAAACACATTCTTGAAAGACAAATGGTGAGCGTTCCCAAGCCTTACCCAAAAGGTGCTGTATTTTTCGTGGCCATTTGAATTTGGTGTCTTTGCATCTGTGTATGCAGGTGGGTGCAGAGAAGGAGCACCTGTTCTGAACAGAGAGCTCTAACTTCCGGTCTCATCTCAGCGCCCCGGTTGTGTTTCTTGTGTTCAGGCGACTCCTGGATACGGAGGATGAGCTCAGTGACATTCAGTCAGACGCGGTGCCTTCCGAGGTCCGAGACTGGCTGGCCTCCACCTTCACGCGGCAGATGGGGATGATGCTCCGGAGGAGCGAGGAGAAGCCGCGGTTCAAGAGCATCGTGCACGCAGTGCAGGCTGGGATATTTGTGGAGAGGTAACGACAGCTGTCAGTCAATCAATGACCAAAGCCGCAAAAGAAACCCCGGTTTCCAGGAACTGGAAGATCCACGTGGATGTCGTTTGGGCATCTTTACAAATACTGAAAATTCTGGGTGGAAAGAGAGTCTTGAATGAGAGATGGCTGAAACATGTCTATTTTAATCGCTGTAGCATCGTTAGGGCAAGGTTTTGCCTTTGGTCAGAATTCTTTGTTGTTAACTCGAGAAGATTTAGTTTGAGTTCAGCCTCTCACTTTTAAAGCATGACATCACTAATCTGTTATCCTTTGACATATGTGGATGGGGGACAGCGTGTTGACCCTGGGCGGGTAGTTCATTTAAGGGGTTTGAGTTCTCTATGAAACTTTCCAATTTTGTTAGCCATTTTGTTCTTTGAAATTGAATTGGCCCCCTTCCCTGGAAATAGATTCCAGAAATCAATTTATTCTTCCTGTAATCCTTATTATACAAATGGATTTATTCTTCCTATAATCCTTATGGTACAATTACAGGTTTTATTATAGAAATGCCACAGTTCACCTGGGACATTTTTCTTGTTTTTTTGGCAGTTCTAAAGAACAGGCTCCTCTAAATGGATAGCCCATAGGAGTTCTGTATCCAGGTTAAAATACTGCATTGCAAACTGTCTGTACTATCATTTACTTCTGGCAGAAGAGGTGACCCATTTTAATAGCTTAATTTCCAATTTGAGCCACATAGATTAATATTTTTTTGTGTGTCCATCAGTTCATGTGTTTGAGATTGCTTTGACTTCTTTTGAATTTAACACTTAGGCCACTGGAGTGCTATGAGAAAGGTTATAAAAGAAATTTTAGGTATTTTGGGTCACCAGTTGACATGACGTCTCATTATTTGTCAATACTTGTTATACGTCTGCGGCCTGCTAATTATTCTTTGGAAGATAAGCTTCTGCATGTTCTCCCTCTCTCACTTTGCCAGAATGTATCGACGGACATCCAACATGGTTGGACTGAGCTACCCACCAGCTGTTATTGAAGCTCTGAAGGTAATGCCAATGAAAAAGTCTTACAACGTACATGGCACCCCATAAAAAGTACAGTTAAATTTGTCATTAGAAAATACGAGGCTTTCATTTGTGCATTTCCCAATCATACCTGACTTTTTACTTTTATTATCTTTCACTTATGTGTTCTGACAGTATTGGTATCTTTTTAGCCTTCATCTTGCTAATTTTTTATTAAATTAAGCGGTGTGGGTTTCATTTCTTTCTACTGCCTTGGAGTCATTTAGTGATCTGTACAGTGCTCTGTCATTATGGGACTCAGTGTGACTTTGGCCAGAGGAGATCAAACTTGTTGTGGTTATAAAGGAGAGTCTTCGGTGATCACCATTGTACCGTTATCTGATTACCTACTCTAAGTTCATTCTATAGATGAAGAAACTGAGACTCAGTGAGATTTTGAAAAAGACACAGTTAATCAGAGACAGAACTAAGGCTCGATACCAGTTTCAGGCACATAGTAAACTCTCAGTAACATTTTACTGCATGAATGGATGCTCCCAGAGCCTTTGTTCTCTCCACATATCCTACTGTTGTCTCAAGTCTCTCACCGCACCCAAAAGTTCCCTTTGATGTGCAGATGTTTGAATTTAAATGGGCTCAATCCTGCAGAATTACTTCTAATCAGGCAAGCTCTTGGATTGCATGGAATATTTCTAAGAGTCCGAATGTGGATATATTCTTCGAGGTGAGTGTTGATTCAGACCCACTGGTCTGAGGCTAGCCCAGCTGTGTCGAAGATGATTTGTTGTCTGGATTTGAGGGTGGGTCTGTGCTAAGGCCCTGGATCACTGGACTGGTTGACATTACATAATGCCTACACAGGGAGTCGTGTCCACTTGCTTAGGGGCTGCGGAGAAGTTCAGAGCAGGTAAGCAACATAGGTTGTCAAGTGAATTAAAAATTTGAAATTCAGTAGGGGGAGGGGAAAGGCTTAATGGAAAGAGGTGAGGTTAGGCATCAGGGGAACATGTGCTGGTGTTCTTATGCCTATTCTTGTGTTTCTCTGAAACCTGAAAAAAGTATTACCCAATGGCATTTTCATAAGATGACTTAAATTACCTATTCATGGAATCAGGGTGACAGTGCTTCTTGATCAATTTAATGTCAAGAGAGAGTCCCTTAGGGCCATGTTGATTATATATTTCATAGTTTTTTTCTCTTGTCTCAAAGACATTCACTAGCTGAATTTGTGAGACTAAATATTCAGATTTTCAGCTTTCTTAAGAGCAGGAAAGATTCTCAAGAAGGATACAACAAGAAGACAGGTTTTCTCTCACTCCTCTTCAACCCCCACTCCAATGCCCAATACATCAGCGTGATTCACAGCAACATTTTCCATTTAATCAGTAAAATCATTTCACACTAGATTTGATGGTTCCAATACCACTGTAAAGTTGCATTGATTTTCCTAATTGAACCTGAAACATTCAATGAAAGTCTTTGGAACATTAAAGGCATCTTTTATCTTTAATTTCTTCCTTTATTGTAAACATAAATGTGGGTGGCTCTGCTGGCACTAAGAAATTTATGAAAATATGTCTTTAAGATTAGTACATCTTTTCTATTTGGAAAAACTGAAGAAAATGTGGAACAACCTGTGATGTTCATGAATTGTTATTTTATGCCCATAGAAAAGTAATCCTCAAATGTCTTTCTGAGGGGGAAAAGTATTTAGATGATTCAGACAAAACAAAAGCACTCACTCTCTGAATTGCTATCCTTCTCCTCAAGGCTTGCTGATACGTACACAAGGCTAAGACTGCTGTTTCTGTTAGTCCTGACCCCTGTTCATTGGGGAAGCCCAAGACCTTTTTACAATCTAATATCTTTTCACCTCCCTAGACTCTGGTTTTATTTGCAGTAGATTGAAGGTGAGTTGGAGAGATCACATAGATAGATACTTTTTCTTTCTTTTTTTAATGTAGTACCTGTTAGAAAAAGGTTATTCCCACTCCACTGGCAGCAGTTTATATGGAATCACTCTTGTTGTCTTCTATTACAGAAAATGTCCCCAAAGACTGAGAGAATACAATTCACTAAAATAACCATCATCACTCTACTGTCAGGTTACCCTTTGTGATTAATGTAAGAACATGGCATAAAATAACATTGAAGTAAGAGAACAATTAACCACCGCCAATCTCTAAATTTGAAATATGGTGCATTTTTCCATTCAGTATATACTGGCTTCTAACTTGAGATCTTTTTTCTCTAGTCTTCTGAGGTGGGGTTATTGGAAATGTAGGGGTGTGGTGTTCTTTCTTTTTTTTTTTTTAGCTGAGCCATCCTGTTGGCAGCTCAGGTCAGGCCGGGAATCAAACCGCTGTTGCTCAGAGCTCGCACTCTTGAGTGAGCTCTTAACCAACTGAGCCACTCGGCCAGCCCCGGTGTTCTTTAGAAGGGCATCTGCTGTGTGACTTAGGAAGAGATGCCCTGGAGAGACCCCAGGATTTAGCTGGAGGAAATGAGGAGATTCGGGCTTCTTTTACATTAGACTAAAAGGAAGTTCACACAGCTTTTCCACGGTAATTGCCCGTGGGCCAAGCATGGTAAGAGAGGGAGAATGGTTTACGGATCCTCTTCTGCCATTTGCAACAACATGGATGGGTCTTGAGATTATAATACTGAGCAAAATAAGCCAGACAGAAAAAGCTGAGAACCATATGATTTCACTGATATGTGGTATATAAAACTGAAAACAACAAAAGAACAAGAAAAACAAACAAACAAAAACTCAATGACACAGACTATAGTTTAGTGGTTACCAGAGGGTAAGGGGTGAGGAGGTGGCAGATGAGGGTAAAGGGGATCAAATATATGGTGATGGAAAGAGAACTGACTCTGGGTGGTGAGCACACAATGTGACATATAGATGATATATTACAGAATTGTACATCTGAAACCTGTGTAACTTTGCTAACAATTGTCGCCCCAATAAACTTTAATTAAAAAAAAAAAGAAAGTTAAAGTTGGTGCTTGTTAAAAGGGGGATTCTAGGCTCCACACCAGGATTCTGCAGAGTCCCCTCCTTGAAAATCAGCATTTTTTTCTGAGCATCCCAAGTGGTTCTGAAGAACATTAGGATTCGAGAACCATCCACTAAGTCCTTCTGAAAATGAGTGGCCAGAGAGGACATCCGTCTTGCTCTCTATTTGCTCATCCTCTCATTACTCTAAATTCTAATATTTAGAATAAATATTGGCTTCTTACTGTGGTAATCACTTTATTTCCAGTGGTAGTGTTTCTCTTTTTTATTCATTCTGGAGACCAGGACTAAACATTGTCAGACATGGCAAAGTGTTTTCCCATCTACTTAGTTGTCAGCGGACTTTACTTTAAGGTCAGACAATGGATGTCACGACAATGCCAATTACAGCAATCACAGCGAAAGTTTAGGACTTTCTTAAGTGGCCCCACTGTCTATGGCCTGGGCCCTGTTGGGGTATTCAGGGCCTGAGGCCTGGGTCACAGCATATATTCACTGGGTTTTACAATGCCATCTGTCATCATCTGTTGGTGATGATATCACAAGGGGGGGTGTCAGAGGGTTTATTGACGGGTGCTGCTACCGAATGGCATTAGACATTTCATGTCATCTCTCTGAGGTTGCCGTCTGCAAAACTGGTGAAAGAAACACCTCTTTATAGAGTTGTGAGGGTTTGTAAATGAATATATACACTTCCTACTGTGTATATATACATTTCCTGCCTGGCACAGAAAATGTGCTCGATTTTTGTAGCTATTCTTTAGTTATTATAATGGAGGAGAAGTTATTGAAGACTGAGATGAGGTTATCACTAAGTGTGAACTGAAGCAGTTTGAAACCCTTTTGGAAAAGGTTGGTTTTCCCTATATATGATTCAGTTTTTTTCTGTGCCTTGGCATCCATGAAAGAGACCCCCAATGGCCTTGGGATGATCTTGACAGTTGGGATGTTTGGAGAGGGAGACAATTGGGATGTGTGGCTGATGTTTGGATGCAGTGAGGGCTGACGTGAGAGCCCCTCAGGCCAGGGGTTCCTGATAGGAAGGTCTCTTTCAGGACACCACCTGACAACTGGCCTGGACTCAGTGTGGCCTCACACGGGTCCTTATTGTCATGCTCATGATGGCATGCTTTCTTCACTGAACGTGAGACTGTCATCACAATGTGAAACCAAATGACTGTTGCTTTAACTCTTGGTTAAACATGCTTTTGTTTACTACATGCACAGATAGCTGCTTATAAGTCAAAAGCACATCAGACAATGTTTACATATACTTTGGAGTAGCTATTTATAGACAAATAAGGCTTTGTCTATCAAAAGGTATATGAGGAGTGTGTTCAGCTTAGCTCTTAGTCATATTGTTTTTTTCAGTAAACTGACTTACAGATTTGAGAAGTATGTCCCCAGAAGTGATAACGTTTTTCTGAACTGGGAGATGAAGGTTTTTTCTTGGGGCTCAGCTCAGCAGTTTGGATTGATGCGACACATTGTTTTGTTTTCTATGTCATGTGTGTTTATGAACACTTTTAAAAAGCGGGTTCACATTCTCAGTGGAGTAGAGATGCACCGTAGGTTGTCAGGTGAATTAAAAATTTGAAATCCAGCAGGGGTGGTGGAAGGGCTGGATGGAAAGAGCTGAGCTTAGGCATCGGGGGAACATGTGTTGGTGTACAGGCCCCATTTGTGTCCCTGGCACTTACTCGTGATGGGTCTTAGGGAAATTAGGAAACTAACTCCTCAGTTCTCTTGTCTATAAAATGTGACTAATCATACCTGCCTCTTAGAGTTGTTTTCAGGCTAAATTACGTAGTTATCACTGATCACAATGCCTACCTAGCATATGGTAGGCACTCAGTTATTAATAATAAGACTGTTTAATATTTTATAAGTAACTTCTATGTAGGTCTGCCAGGTTGGAAAAAGTCTGAGCGTGAAAGGGGCTGTGAAATTTAGGGTGGAGCTGCAGGCCCACTCCACAGCGGAGTGATCTGTGTAAGCGGCTGTGGACTAATGTGTCCTTCCCCCCCCGTCCCGGTCCTGCAGGATGTGGACAAGTGGTCCTTTGATGTCTTTTCTCTCAATGAAGCCAGCGGGGATCATGCACTGAAATTCATTTTCTATGAGTTACTCACGCGGTATGACCTGATCAGCCGTTTCAAGGTCAGTGCCTAATTTTAAAAAATGCACATGTTTGTTCATCCTTGCATGACTTTGGGGCTAAGACCAAGAGAATGCATTTCATATAGACCAAAAGCTGCCCTGGGTGACTTGGATTGCGTCAGCCTGACAGTCACTGCCACCTTGACTCCTCCGTGATAGGAACTTTTCGTTAACATTCCCTGCCTGGTGGGGCTCCTTGGCCGGGGAGAGAATGGAGCGACACATTTTGATCTCAGGCTTCCTAGAGGTACCACTCGAAGCCCAGACTAGAAGAGTTCCCTGCGGCTCTGCCCGCAGATCTCATTTCAGCCTGATATCATGTACGATCTCTCACTACCAACAAGGAGACAGTAATGGAGATGAAGTGATCGCCTGCTGTCTCTGCAAACTTTTTTTCCCCACCACTTGGCTCAAATGCAGACAGATAGTCTCACTTATCATCTGTGACAGATCATTGGTATTGCCCAGCCATTCAGGCTTCACATTAATTCTTCAACTTTAAGTAAAGAGCACGAATCGTTTCCAGTGTTCAAGCCCCTCACCTTCTAATTCTGCAGACTCTGGAGGTCAGGCTGGGTTTTGCAGGGAACCTGGGGAGCCATCTGCTGACATCTGTTATATTATGATCCCCCGACTTCTCTCATCCTAAGGATGAACCTCTGGAAAACGCAGGCCTTTTTCTCTGCAACATGTTGATATCTCTGGACAGCACAGTTCCTAATTGCGTTTTGAAGGATTGCCTATTTCTTACACAGCCTTAGACATTTTATGGCAATGGCCTGTCATTTCTTCGGCATCTGAAATCTGCTTGAAAACCTGGTGGATGCCTAAGGCCTTTTCCTCAGAACAAAGCTCCGTGTACATACACACAACTTGACCTAGCAGTTCAATGTTTCATAGATCTCTCATGAACAACCCAAAGAAACTAGGTTTCTTGGATCTTCATTTTTAAAAACGATAATTAAACATGTAAAAGGCAATATTTGCATTCTTAAAAGTCAACAAATGATAAACATGGAAGAATGTGTCCAAGGAAGAGCATGTTAGGGACTGTCGCACAGCATTACAGTAATATTTTCCTTGTTTTTTTCTTACTAACGTGATTGTTAGTTTCCTGAAAAACACACTCTTTCCTTTTCCCCTGTCTTGTATTTGATAATTTATCCTAAACCAAGGAATTGACCCAGAAAGCTAAAAACAATCACTATTTTAAGGGTTCCCTTAGTTTGGACAGACATTTCGCAATTGTTCTTCACTTTCTGCCACATAGAAAAAGAAGGTATGTATAGTATACATATTTGAGATAGCAAAGCAATTAGGCTAATTGGAAATATTATTCCAAATTGCTAGGTACATATAATAAATTGTCAAGTAATAGACATAAGCCTATAGCCTGTTTCTATCCCCATGATAACCGACTATCACATTTGTTTTTTTCATGTGTCTAATGCATACAATCATTTTGTCTAAAGGGCACAGTTTTCAGGAGGTGACAGCTTGTATTTATTTTGCAATTATTAAGTGACTTAAGATCTTGGTGTATGTTATGTTTTCTCATACATACATGAAATATGCTGCACAATGTGTGTTCATTTATTTCTTGAGAAATAAAAGACTCGAACCTTTACTGGAGAAATGAATGAATATATACCCTTCTGCCCTAAATGTCTTTGAGATGATCTTGTAGTATAATTTTTCCCTTCCCTTAAAGCTACTAAATAACTAGCTAATGAACCGCACTCATCTTTTTCAGATTCCCATTTCTGCACTCGTCTCATTTGTGGAGGCCCTGGAAGTAGGATACAGCAAGCATAAAAATCCTTACCACAATTTAATGCATGCCGCCGATGTTACACAGACTGTGCACTACCTCCTCTATAAGACGGGAGTAGCGGTAAGTACAGATAGGAACCCTCGGCTCACACAAACAGCTAGGTCTCGGAGGTAGGTCTCTATGACTTTTTACTTTGAAATTTTCTGCAGTACTGGCATCAAGGTAGACATTCTTTGGGTGTCCTTTAGTTCCTAAACTCAGTACCCATTTGTTATCTTTTCTGTGTGGGCATGTTAAAAGACTTAATCTAATATCTCACTGTATTAAAAATGGAATACAGGGGGAGGAGTGTGGGCTTTGGAGCTATTTATAGTTGGATATAAATCCTTGTTTAATTACTTATTAGATTTTGTGACCTATGATAAATTGTTTGAATCTCTGAGTCAGGATTTCCTCATTTCTAACTTGATTAAAATATTGTATCTTGGAGAAGTTCTGTGACAGGCATAAAGTATCCAAAATACAAAGCGCTATGTCTGCCTCATAAAGGCCAATCAATAGTTAGGAATTGTTGTTATGAAAACTTTTCAGGATTTCCCCCATACCTCTCATCAGTTTTCAGTTCTTTTTTATTGTAAAGCTGATTTTTAAAAACAATGTTATTTAAAAAAGCTATTTTACAAAAATTATAGAAACACCACAAAGGGAACCTGTTTAATGTGCTAACAGGTTTCTGCCAGAAACTTAGAGCAAAGGTCAGAGTTAATGGTGGTTCTATGAAAACATGGAGAAAGCAGGGACGCCCACACTAATACTGCTCTTGAGGATTTTTCTGGAGGTCTCAGCCAATGCAGTATGGTGTGTGAAAAAGTTAAAGAAGCATCCTGTGAAAATAATGTGATTGTCTGCTTTAAAAAAATCAAGAATACCAACTATAAGTTATTAGATCAAATGAAAGACCTCAATAAGATTTGGATAACACAGCTGTCTTATACACTAGAAATTAGTAGTGTAATAGAAAAACACATATTCTCAATTGTTTAAAAAAAATCTATAAATTGCCTAGGAAGAACTTCAAAACTGATAAAAAGGAAACTGTAAAACTAAATTAAAGGGCACAAAAATAATGTTTAAATAAGTGAAGAAATACACCATGTTTTTTAATGCAAACCCTCAATATTATATAAATGGCAGTTTTCCTCAAACTAATCTATAAATTCAAAGCAATACCAATCAAAATTCCAATAGGATTTAACATGGACTGAGTCTGCAATTTGTGATAAGCTGAATCTGAAATGTATGTAAAATAGACATTTTACAACCTTAACAAACAATTTTGAAAAAGAATATGTGTGGTGGGGTAGCTTTTACTCTACTAGATATTAAAATATCTACTAAATCTATAGTAATAAAAACCAGTGTGGTATTTGTGCCAAAATAGACAAATATATCAATGAATTGGTTAACGTTTCCAAATGGGAGTCACTGGTACCCTTGACATGAAGAGCCTCAGTGGTTTGTTAAGGGCAGAACTCTGCCTAGACTATAACAAATAAAGAATTGCAGGTGCGAAGGTGGGGACATGTCTATGGACAGCTACAGGACAGGGAAAATTACTCAGTTCAGAAATGTTTGGGGGATAGTTGTTTGTTTGGAAAAAAACAGAATGTTTTTGTCCTACTTCAAATCATTTATCAAGTATCAGACAAAATAATTAAAGATGTGAGTATAAAAATAAAAATTTGATCATATTAGAAAAATATGAGAATATGTTCATAGCCTTGAAAATGGAAATTCTTAAGCCTCAGAACACAAAAGTTATATAACAAAATATTGATGAATTCAAGTATATTAAAGTTATAACCTTCTGTAGGATAAAAAAATCATCATAATGAAGTTAAGTACTTGAAGAAATGTTATGTATATATAAATTTATATATATATTATGATATATATTATATATATAATATATATATATATATATTCCAGATTATATAAATAAATCAACCAATGAGAAAATGGCACAAATTCAATAGGAAAATAGGAAACTCATTTATAGAGTTAAGATTGCCTTATCATAAAGTATCTGCCATGGGCAGAATTTTGTACCCTCCCAAATTTGTATGTTGAGGTCCTAATTCCCAGTGCCTCAGAATATGACAGTATTTGGAGACAGGGACATTAAAGATGTGATGAAGGTCAAATGAGGTCATATGGGTAGACCTTCATCCAATCTGAATGGTGTCCTTATGAGAGGAGATTAGGACACAGATATGCACGTGCACAGAGGAAACCCATGTGAGGACACAGTGAGATGGTGGCTGTCTGCAAGCTGAGAAGAGAACTCTCCCCACAAACCAACCCTGCCAATACCTTGATCATGTACTTCTACAAAAGTGTGAGGAAAGAAATTTCTGTTGTTTAAGCTACCTAGTCTGTGGCATGTTGTTATGGCGGCTTAGCACACAAATGCAGTAGCAGAGCCAGGATTTGGCTGCAGGTCTGACTTCTGAGGCCATGCATTTAAGTATTTAGCCATGCTTCTACAATGCCTATGGGGGAAAAAAAAAATGGAGCCCCTGATCTTCTTACACCTCAGTATCCTCATGTGATCCTTCAAAGTATTGTGGTAAGGATCAAACTAGATGTGAAAATGTACTTAGGACTCAGCTATTCAACATATATTTAGTTAGGGCCTACTGTGCATAGTGGAGATATAAAGGTGAACCATGCACAGATTTTTCTCAAGAAACACTCCCGAGCATTAATGCTAATGCAGGTCATCGTTAACATCAATGTCACAGGAGCCAGTCATCATGGTGTGCTGTACACTGTTCTTAAGCGAGCTCATTTGCCATTGGATTTTCATTATCAACTCAGACCACATTCAGAATAATTCTTAAATATAGAAACCGCTGCCTGCCCACTCTTTCTTGGAAATGCGGCTGAAAACAAACTTCTTTCATGGAAAGCTTACAAAACCACTGGGGAGCACTCGGGTGAACGGAGAACATGTCGTGACTCTAACCTTTCGATACAAACCTAGAAGAGAAAGATGCTTGAAACCATTTCAGTTTTATAAACTGTGAGACATACAGGGAATCAAAACATCCCATTGGTAAAGTGATGTCTGGGCCTCAAAATCATCAGCTCATTGGAATCTGCTTCTATTACTCATTGTGGCTTAACTGGGATGCCTGGAAGATGCTTGAACCTTTTCAGATTTATTTCGCTCACTTCTAAGAGAAAACCCTTGAACACAATTAGATTGAAGAGTTGTTGATTGACTAGATAGGAATCAGACTCTGAGCTCCAGTCTGCTTCTGATTTAGGTAAAAAGATTCCAAACTCCAAAGCTACCCCTTGGCTCCCCTCCTTGCTTTTGTTGGGCGAGGTGCCATTAATTTTTCTTTCGCTCATTTATGTTTTTAGAAGAGAGAAGCTGTGTGATCATAGGTGTATTGTCATATTTGTAAGGGAAACACCAAGGACAACTAAGTGGCCTCTGGTTAAAGAGCACTAAGTCATTTTATTAGGGTTTGTAGTCTGCAGAATTTTGGCCCCCGTGTCCTTTGCCTCCTGGTGTCACACTTGTGAGTGTGTTATTAATACATTAAATGGCAAAAGGGACTTGGCAGATGCCATGGAGGCTACTAATCAGAGAACCTTAAAATAGGGAGATTATCCTGGATCCTCCAAGCAGGCTTAATATAGTCACATGATCCCTTGAAAGACAAGTGATGTGGCAGAAGTGTGAGAAGGATGCAACCAGCCATTGCTAACCTGAAGATGGAGGGGCCAAGTGGAAAACATGTGAAGGCAAGGATTTCTGGGAATGCCTTGAAAGCACCTGGAAACAGATTTCTCCACAGAGATTTCAGAAAGGAGCACAGTCCTGCCAACCCCTTGATTTCAGCTTTGTGGGGTCCTGAACAGAGCATCCAGCCACACTGTGATGACTTCTGACCTCCAGAATTCTGTGCCAATAAACGGGAGGGGTTCGTTAAGCTTTATGTTTGTGGTAATTTGTTAAGGCTACAATAGAAAACCAGCGCATGGGTGGAAACACTTGACTAAAGAAACTCTGTCGGGCCGGCCGAGTGGCGCGATGGTTAAGAACTGGCTTGGGACGCCAGAGGGCCCCGGTTCTGATCCCACAAATGAGAGCCAGTGACACTGCCCTCTACAGCTAAGATGCTGAACAACAGCTCAACCTGGAGCTGGGCTGCCATGAGTTGCCTGCGACGGTGTAGGCTGCAGCCCCTGTGGCAGTGGGTTGCCATGGGCTACCTTGTGTAGCCAGCAGCCAGCGTGAGCGGCCAGCAGCCTCTGTGAGCGGCGTCCAGAAGCCGGCGACTGATCTGCCTCACCCGGGAAGAGCGCAATGATGGTGCCAGCTTGGGCCAGTGAAGCAACGTCCTCCACAACTAGACTGAAGAACAAAACGACAGCAACTTATCTGTTCCCCTTCCCCCCAATTCCCCAGCACTGTTCCCATCCCCCTAATTCTCCAATAAAAATCTTAAAAAAAAAAAAAGAAACTCTGTCATTCACCTATCAAAGTGTCAATTTGCTAGTGTCCACTGCCTGCCCCCCATCGGCCTCTGTGCGCCTGTGCTCGCGCGCGCGTGCACACACACACACACACACACACACACACACACACACAGAGCTTGCTCTCCTTTGTCGTACACAGCAAAATTCCAAGTCCGCCATTACCGCCAGCCAAGGTACCCCGTCATTGGATTAGTTGTGATACTCGCATTTTGTAGATAGTAAAATACTGGTAGAGTCTGTGGCTTGTACCTTGTTCCAGTTTGATAAACCTTGAATAATACTCATGTGGGACTTACATTTCTGACTGCTTCGAGGTTGTGATAACACTGTCTGGGTTCACAGCAATTAATTTGGAAAAGGCAAGGAAATACAAGCCCTATTAAAATGTGAAGCCCAATTTCCCTCAACATAGCTTTTCCCAGACCTTCTCTGTTTCCATTCATGACGCTGTCTAATACCACCCACCACTGTTCTTGCCACCCAGGCTCGACGTGTTGGGGCCATCTTTAATTCACTGTTCAGGACAGCAGCCTCTTCTGGCTGTCTTCCTTCAGTTAATTGCTGAGCCGTATCAGTTCTACCTCCACACTGCCTGTATACCCTGTAAGGACGCTCTCATCCCCAAACCGGCTCTTATCTCTCCCTCTCAGTAACAGACTGACCGTAGAATCCTCTCGCACGCACGTAAGTTTCATTGCCTGTTGAATCTGGTTTGTGTTCCTCGCCCTTTAATGCCTGACATCACAGGGCCCTCAGCAGCCCTAACTCCCACTCCACTAAATGGAATTATTTCCTTACTCGAAATGAATCAGCGTTTGCCACCGGGATTTGCTCATTTGTTCATCTGAAAGTTCCCAGTTCCATTTCTTGCGCTTCAAGGCCCATCTTAAATGTCCCTCATCTGTGAAGCTGTTTCCCCTCCGTCCGTCCTCCCTCCCTCCCTTCCTTCCTTCCTCTCTTCTTCCCTCCCTTTCTTCCTTCCTCTCTTCCTCCCTCCCCCTCATTCTCGTCCCCTTTCCCCTCCCCTCGCCTCCTTTTCCTCCTTCCGCCAGATCCCACCTCTCCTTTCTTTCATTCCCCAACAGCAAAACCGATGCTAAGCACCCATAGGGGCTGTTGAAAGGCCAGGGTGTTACAATGAGTTTTAAAGGTGATAGCGTTATTATGTTTTGTTGTTGTGTGCTTGTTCATATTTATTTGTTGTTTTTGGTGTATATTAGAAGTAGGTTACACCAAGATAGGATCTTGTTAGCATAGTTGGCTAAGGGGGAAAGCTACACTGATATTTGTAATGTGAGAACTGTAATTCTGTGGCTCTTTAGACGGCTCGTGTTGGTAGGGCTGGTGCTCTGTGATTCAGATTTGTTTAGATGGTACACTGTCTCCCGTTCACAATCTTATTATAAAATGTTAAATGAATTTTGCATGAGCTTGAAGAAGGAACTATGTGGGAGTCGGGGCAGATGGGCGGGGACAGGGCACTGGGGACAGGGTGTTGGGGAAGAAAAGAAAGACATTGCTAAAATGAAATATATATATATATATACATATATATATATATATATGAAATATCAAGAAAAATGTGTAATATAAAATTATACCTATATCATTTTTTGTGCAAAATGGAATAAATACATGAACAGTGACCCAAAGGACATATGACTTAGAGATTATCAGTAGGAACTCTGGAGTGATATTGTGTGGCTTGGTCCAATAATTATTTGTGTAACCTTGGGTAAGTCACTGAACCCCTTCAGCCTCAGTCTTCTCATCTATAAAATGGGGATAACAGCAGATAACCTACCTTTATGGAGTTGTGTGTATTGCGTGAGCTTTTATGTGTACACAGGCCTGACACAGAGTAAGCGCCCTCAGTTAACCCTGAAGAAGAGACCCTTTGCTGCTTTCGGGGGAGGGGGGGAGGTAGGGGGGGTGTTTGCAGCTTCAGTTTTTTTGCAATTTTTACTTATTTTACCCATCTCTTTTTCATTTAATTTTGTTTCTTTGTCACCTTAGTCTGTTTTCTCTTTATGTCTTTCTGTCCCCAGTATATCAGTTTCAATTTTTGAGGCATATTATCGAGGATGCCAAAAAGCTTCCTGACATTTCATGCTAGATTCTGTTAAAAATCATTTTCAAAAGTACAGTGCTTTTCCCCCAAGTTATTACTATGCTCATTCGTTCTCTAACTATGAAATCTTTTTTTCATAAGTTACATGTAGTTTGTTCATTTATTATTTTTTTTCCTGTAGCTATCCTCAGAGGAGGTAATAATTCTCAGTAAGTTTCTTAGATGAAGATCAAAATTAGTAATTAATTGGAAAAAAAGCAGTTAAAGTGAGAAGTATTTTAAAATGATCTGTTCATTTTTAATCATTTTATGTTAACTGAAGTCAGATAAATATATTTTATTTGCTGATCTTTAGTTTAGACCCCAAGCTATTTCCTGAATTCTGCCGATTTGGGGACTTATATTAGTCTTGCATGAACGCTGCCCCATCTAAGATTTCAAGTTTCATTTCTTCAGAGTGAAATAAAGATACTCATGAGGCAAACTGAGTGCAGAGCGTCTCTAAATTTTTATTATTGTTGTCTACTCTTCCACAATTTTCACACCTATTTTTGACAACAGTTCTTTTAGTGATTGTCTAAAGCATTGAACTTAGGTTCTGTGGACATAACAACTCCATTTTTGTGTTCATGTTTTATTGGTTTATGTTGTATTTAATTACGTAATTCTGCTAAATGCAATATTTCAGAACAGGGTTTGGAATAAACCACACTAAAACTTGTAAGCATCAATTCAACTAGCAAACAAAGTGAGTAGAGGGTACCAAAAGGTGGGCTACGCGTCATGAATGTTCTATCATGTGGACATTGGGCAGGATGGTTTACAGAAAGGAGGGAAGCAGCAATGAATGCAGAGAGTCTCTGAAATGGAATTCACTGGACAGCTTCAAACTCAGGCGTGGCTCTCACACTCTCGCGTGCATCTGAATATCTGAATGGCTTGCTAAAACACAGATTGAGGGGCCACAACCCAGAGTTCCTGATTCAATGGGATTTGGGTGGGATTTGTATTTCTAACAAGCTTCCAGGTGATGCTAATGCCACTGACCCAGGGAACACACTTTGAGGACCCTTGAATTATAGCCAATTTTTTTTCTGGATGGTGACAAGTCTCTTCAAACTTTAGCATGCATAAGGTGGCAGGCCAGTGTTGTTTTCCCATCTGTCCTACCTAGCACCCTTCTAGTGGATAGATGTTGGGTTTTCTGTTACTCTTAGTTCTTGGTATTGTATTGAAATTTTAATTTTTTTGGGCGGGGGCCTACCTAGTAACTTGCAATTTGAGAGAAGATGCAATGAGGGCTTTTAATGTCTGCAGGTTCATTGTTTTTTTGTTTCCTTGAAAAAAATAAAACTAGTATTTTGCTTTTTCAACCCAGCTGGGCATGCTGTTTTCAAATCATATGTCCCCAAGGCTCCTTAAAGAAGAAGAAAAAAAACCCCAAAAATCATTTCTGTCTGTCAGGAAACATGTGTTTGGCAATAGCTCACCAGCTGGGGGTGGAAATGCAGAAATGTGGGTGTGTTGTCAGCAAGCTGAAGACTGAGAAAGAGACAGATTATCTGATGACTCTGATCTCCCTTCCAGAACTGGCTGACCGAGCTGGAGATCTTCGCTATCATCTTCTCAGCAGCCATCCATGACTACGAGCACACCGGGACCACCAACAATTTCCACATTCAGACCCGGTGAGGATGTTGAAATATTTGGGGAAGAGTCAAGAGGGGGCCAGGGGTAGAGTTTTATAAGCCAGCAAGATGTCATCAGCTTTCTTGTGCACGGTTGCTCTAGTTTACGTTTCTGGAAAAGTGAACTTTTCAACAAGAGATCAGCCTGGTCAGCTTCGATGAAGAAGCCATCTGCTCCTCACTCCCCTATTCTGTTCACCTCTAATATGGATCTCCTTTTCCTCTCTGTTCTAATGCTAGCTATTTGTCATTTATGTATGTACCATGCATAGTGTACCTGTTTCTAATAAGAGGTGGGGTAGTTTACATAAAGGCACAGATGTCACATAGACTAGTCAGTGAGGACAGACAAGGATTGGAGTGTTTTTGTTGACGTGAACAATAACCGAGCCTTCTTACCCTCTGATCTCTGGGCTTTTGGCCATGCTCTTGTCGTTCTCTCTGATTTCTGTTTAGTGCTTACATTCCTGCCTGGCACGGGGCTTGGGGAGCTAGGTTGTGTCATGTGGGGCCCCTTCACCATGGGCGCCCTCTGCACCCTCTCTAATGAGCTGCATGGGCAAACGCAGACCTCTCAGAGGGATGGATATTAAATACGGGTCCAGGTGCTCCGCTCTGACCCTCTTGACTGTAAGAGACATCACTAATCAATTTTGGTATTTTTCCTTACTAGCTGCAGATTTCTCCTTAGTATTCCTCTCAGCACAGAACTCCAGGCAAGCAGTACCAGTCAATTGTCATTTTCATTTAAGACGAAACCTTATCTGTCCTCTTCTGGACTGAGAACATATCTTTTCCTAAGGCAGTGATGTGCAACTGCAGAGAATCTGACATAGGATTAACTGGGCCTTGACGTAGGAATCCAAAGAAGCTAGAATTTGGGGAGAGGTGGCAAAGAGAAAGAATAGAATGGGAAGGGACGAGAGATGAATACCAAATAAATACTTGCTGATTTCACTTTAAAAAGCAGGTGCACACTCCAGATAGATTTGTGTGCATAAATCAATCCACTTGTATTTAATGAACCCAACACTTAATTATGGGGTACACAAAAGAAGACAGTATCCTCTGATCTGTGCTCGGAAGGGGAACTTCAATAGAATGGAAGCAGACAAAAGGACATAAGCCGTCCACTTCATTTTCCACCTCCTGCCTCCTCACAGAGAGTAGCCTCAGCTGCTGCAAAACAGCCTTTGTAGTTCTGTTGTGAGGTCTTTAAATACAGGGATTCCACAGAGCAGCTCTGTTTCATGGATATCTGCGAGTGGAATCTTTGCTCTGAGGACAGAGACGGTGCTGAACAGCACCTGCAGAGGGAAGACAGGTGGGCGGAACAACTGTACACGGATCTTGGCTGAAGACCAACATCAAAACCCATCACAGCACAGAACAAAATGGCCTCATTATAGGAGATGGAAAATAGCTTAATGTCACAAAATACACATCAGTTGGTGTCTTCCTTACTTAACACATAGAAAATCAGATCTTTCACCTCCACATCTGCATGTTGTGTGCTATCTCCATGGGCGTGGGAACATTTCAGTGGGTCTCAGTGAAGCTTGGTTTGGAATACAATTTAAACATTGGCCTTCTCTAATGGAACTTTATCTAAAGCATCTCAGCCTGTGTGCCCCCTGTTCAGAAAACTAAGTCTGTGACCAGTTTCTTTGTCCTTTGATGGTATGTTAAGTCTAACACGTTAAAGGCATGCTAGATACATTTGAAAGTTTGGCCAACGATAGGCAGAAGTTACCTTGGGGAACAATGGCCCAACTTTCAGAAGAGCTTGCCTTCATTCCAACCCTGGCACTTAGCTGCCGTGGAGCTGTGTGAAGTCACTTTACATGTCTGGGACTCATCTTCCTTGATGAGAAACAAATAAGCTGTGGTAATCTGAGATTTCACTAAATTAAGGATATTGAAATAGTATCCAGCCCTGTGTTTAGTGTCATTCAGCTGTGGAATGGTCTTTGCAAAAGTGACTAACAATTGTCATGTAATTCTTACATTCTTTATTCTTTGCATGGCAAAAATTTTTATTGAATAAAAAAATTCAAGTTGTTCGAGAAAACATAAGGAAGTTTGACTTGACCCACATTAAAAAAAAATAACCTTTGTTACTAGCACAGAGAATTGAGACCTAGTTATAGAACAGTTTTCAGAGACTTCTCAGGTTAGATATCACATATTTTATATCCACATATTGGTATCAACATACCCCACATATATTGATTGATAATTTGTAGTGTTAGTTTTAGCTTTTTGGTTGATATAAATGACATGGTGGCAAAGAAAATTGCTAAACACAGAAAAAAGAGATGGTGCGTTCTAGCTTGAGAGAGTTACCAGAAAAATCTCAACTGTTTAACATCCTAAATTATTTTGCTTGGCTTTCTGTTTAGGTCTGACCCAGCTATTCTGTACAACGATAGGTCTGTATTGGAAAATCACCATTTAAGTGCAGCTTATCGCCTTCTCCAAGAGGATGAGGAGATGAATATTTTGATCAACCTCTCAAAGGATGACTGGAGGTAAGGATGAGACAAGGGAGAGATTTGGAGGCCAGGAAAGGAACTGTGAGGAGAGATAAACTATGCTGCTTTGAAGAAATCCAGTAACCGAAAGATAACATATGTTTAATACCTTATGTCTTTGTAGGAAAGCAATTTTAATATCTGATAGATTCTATTGGGATACATAAATGCATTAGACTTTGTATGACTTTTACAAATTAATGTATTACAAATTTAGTGCATTTCAAAGTGGAATAATGTAGAATTCCACTTTCAGCAGGCCAAATTAACTGTTAAACAAATCCTCCTGCAAATAACAACTCTAAACTCTGGACAAAATACAAGCAAACAAATCAGTACAACTCCCAGTGATTTGAGGGCTCTAAAGAGTAAACAAAACAGGCAAGTTTTGAAGGGGTGTCTATATTTCGAGAATATGACAGAATGAGGTGTGTGTGACATGTTTGTGACTTTATGCTGAAGGCAGTCTCAGTGAAGGCAGCAACACTAGATTGCTAAAACTATATTTATACAAACACCTCCACTATTTTTCTGGCTAGAGAAACCAGGGTAGGAACAACCAGAGCTACTAGTGGGTAAGTTAGAACCTCAGAAAAGAGAGAGTGAAATAAGGGGAACTCAAATCCTGTGACAATTTAAAGAACATACAAAGAGCAGGAAAATGGGACTTATTTGCAAGGGAAAAGACAGTCAGTCGATGCAGTCTCCAAGATGAACTACTGTTGGAATGATCGGCGAAGGGCTTTTAAAGCCATTATTTACGCTCAGGGAGGTAAAGGAAAATATGTTTGTAATAAAATGCAGTAACATTTAACCAGTGAAATTAAATGATAAACAAGAGCAAACAGAAATTTTAGAACTAAAAACATATTTCAATGGAAAATCTACTGTATTGGCTAAGTAGCAAGTTGGAGAAGACAGAAGAAAGAATCAGTGAACTTGAAAATACCAGTCAATAATATGCAATTTGAAGAAGTAGGAGATGAAAGCTTTTTTCTTTTTAATTAAAATTTATTGAGGTGACAATGGTTAGTAAAGTTACATAGGTTTCAAGTGTACAATTCTGTCATACTTCATCTGTATGTTACACTGTGTGTTCACCACCCAGAGTCAGTTCTCCTTCCATCACCATATATTTGACCCTGTTCACCCTCATCTTCCACCCCTTTCCCTCCTACCCTTTGGTAACCATTAAACTATTGTCTGCAACAAAATGGACGGATCTTGAGATTATTGTGTTAAACAAAATAAGTCACACAGAAAAAGCTGAAAACCATATGACTTCACTCATATGTGGGGTATAAAAAACTGAAAGCAACAAAGGAACAAGACAAACAAATTAAGAAACAAAAACTCATAGACAAAAGATTTTTAAAAAGAGAAGCTTAGCGGCCTCTGAGACAATTTCAGATGGTCAACCATAAAAAGAGTTGGAGCCTCAGAAAGAGAGGAGAGAGAGAAAACGTGGCAGAAGAAGTATTTGAAGAAAGAATGGCTGGAAACTCCCCAAATATGGTGAATGATATATTCTACGTAGAGATTAAAGAAGCTCAGCAAACCTAAAGCAGGATAAATTCAAAGAAAAACACACTAACACACATATTATGGTCAAACTGCCAAGAGTCAAGGGTAAAATTAGAGAAAAGTGACATTATATTCAGGGAAATAATCTGGATTACTGTGGACATTTTGTCAGAAATCGTGGAGGCCAAAAGACAATGGAATAATGCCTGTAAAGTGCTAAAAGAAAAAAAATGTTGACACAGAGTGCTCTATCTCATGGAAATATCCTTCAGAAATGAAGATGGCATAACATTATTTTCAGATAATGGAAAAACACAGAAATTTGGAACCAACAGACCTGCATTATAAGAAATATTAAAGAAAGTTCTTGAGGTAGAAGGAAAATGATACAAGAGGGAAATCAGATTTTTAGGAAGGAATAAAATGGTAAAAATCTGGGTACATAAAAAAGGCTATTTTTCTTAATTTCTTTAAATTAAGTGCATATGGCCATTAACAACAAAAAATACAATATGCTTAATAGTGAACAATTGAATGCTTTTCCCTAAGATTGGGAACAAGACAACGATGCCTGATCTTAATCTCATCAATACTGTAAGATGTCTACATTAGCGATGACCTGATTGTCTAAGTAGAATATTCTAAGAATCTGTAAAGAAGCTACTAGAATTTATAACAAATCTTGCAAGGTTACAGAATATAAGGTTAATGTAAAAATATATATACAATTGACCCTTGAATAACATGGGTTTGAACAGGGCAGGTCCACTTATACACAGATTGTTTTCAATATATACTATAAATATATTTTCTCTTCCTTATAATTTTCTTAATAACATTTTCTTGTCTCCAGATTACTTCATTATGAGAATACACTATATAATACATACAACATACAAAACATGTGTTAATTTATTATGTTATTGATAAGGCTTCTGGTCAACAGTAGGCTATTAGTAGTTAAGTTTTTGGGGAGTCAGAAGTAATATGTGGATTTTAGATTGGAGGGGATGACGCCACTAACCCTCACATTGTTCAAGGGTCAACTGCATCTAGACTAGCAGCAAACTATTGGAAAATGAAATAAAAACAATTTATTTTATAATAGCACAAAAATATGAAATACCTTATAGTAACTTTAAAAACACAAGTATAACTCTTGTTCACTAAAAACTACAGAACATTTCTGATTAAAGAGGACATAAATAAATTGAGAGATATACCGTTGTCATGTTGTGGAAGACTCAGTATTGTAAAGATGTCAAGTCTTCCCAAATTTATGTATAGATTCAACAAAATCTCAATAAAAATTCCAGCAGAATTATGTTAGAAATTGGAAGGTTATTCTAAGCATTATGTATAAATGCAAACAAAACAATTTTAAAGAAGAACAAAGTTAAAGGATCCACACTACCTGATGTCAAAACATACTGTAATGCTACCATAACTAAGACAGTGTTTTATTAGTGAAAAGATAGACACACGGATCCATGGGACAGAATTAAGAATTCAGAAATTGATTCATTGTTGATTTATGACAAAGGGGCCAAGGCAGTTTAGTGGGGAAAGGAAAATCTTTCTAACAAATGGTGCTGGAACAAATGGATATCCATATAGAAAAAATAACTTTGACCCTTACTTCACCTCATACTTAAAAATTAACTCCAAACTGAGCATAGACCTAAACGTAATAGCTTAAAATGATAAGACTTCCAGAAAACGTAGCAAAGTCCTTGGAGTAGGTGGAGTTTTCTCAGATAGGACTCAAAAAGCATGAAGCATTAAAACAATTTGATAAATTGAACTTTATCAAAATTAAAAACTTTTGCTCTTTGTTAAGACACTGTAAAAAGAAAAAAGCAAGCCAAGAAGTAGGAAAAATTATTCACAACATAGATATCTTACATAGGACTTCTATCCAGAATATATAAAGTACTTTTACAACCAATAATAAGACAAACAACCCAATTTTAAAAAGGGAAAGGCTTGAAACAGACATCTCCTAAAAAGAAGATACACAAATGGCCATAAATAGATGAAAGGTGCCGGAAATCATTAGTTACAAAAAAAATACAAATTAAAACCACAAGATATCACTACACATCCCTGTAGCGATGATTGAAAATGAAAGGACTGAAATTAAAGCCTGACAATAGTAGAAGAAGACACAGATATAGAAAAACTGAAACTCTCATATACTGATGATCAAAATCTAAAGTGATATAACCACTCTGAAAAATCTTAGGGAGTTTCTTACAAAGTTAAACACTGAGATACCTTATCAACTTGCTATTCTAATCTGAGGTATTTATGCAAGAGGAATGAAAACATATATCCACACAAAGGCTTGCATATATGAATACTCATCACACCTTTATTCATAATAGCTCCAAACTAGAATCTAATAACTCAAATGTCCCTTAGCTGGTGAATGAATAAAGAGCTGGATACTCATATGAAGAAATCCACTCAGCAGTAAAAACAAATGAACTATGGATGAACCACTATGTGGATGAATCGCAAATCATGCTGAGTGAAGGAAGCAAGAAACAAAGATTACATTTTATATTTTGTGTGTGTGTACATACATGGATACACATGTGTGTATATATATCTAGTGTCTAGTTTAATATATATGTATATATGTGTGTGCATATATGTCTGTTTTATGTCTTTCTAGATCCTTTGCATTTTTTAGTGTGTGTGTGTGCATATATCTATATCTATCTATATATATATATAGATAGATATAGATATATATAAATATCTGTGTATAATAAAACGAGAAAATGCAAATGATCTAGGGACATAAAGCAGATTAAAAGTTGCCAGGGGCCAGTCGGTACAGGGCGGGGTGAACTGCAGAGGGGTTTGAGGGCGATGGAAAGGTTCCGTATCATGATTGTGATGGTGTTTGCAAAAGCTGAAGCTTATTCGACTGTTAAGATTCATTGAGCTGTACAGCTTATGTGGAAGCAGTTTATTCTATGTAAATTCTACCTGAATCGAGTTGTCAGCGCTAGTGAAAAGACCGGTGTTTGGCAGGGGCTGGGGGAAGGGCAGGAAGAATGAAGACGTGGGGCACGGGATTTTGGGGTGTTGAAACACCTGTATCCCAGTGTAACATGGATTATCTGTCTGCCTCCTAGGATTATTTTCAAATTAATTTTTTTCTTAAAACTTTGAACTCAGTTGAGAAAGGAATGCTTTACCACACTTTCACTGAAATTTCTGTGAGTCAGTGTTCCAAATGATATGTCCATTCTACGTGTCATACTCCTAATAAGTGATTTCCTTAATCCTTACTGTTCATTTATTTCTCGTTAAAAAAGCCCACCTAAAAGGCTCAAGTTAGATTAGAAATGTCACAAGTAATTAACTGATTTTGATTATAAGTGGCAAAAAAAACCCCAAAACCCCAAAAACCTAATTTTTACTTTCCATTTTTTACTTTCATCCTTTTTTCTCCATGGGTGTCCCTGAAAGGGAATTTCGGACGTTGGTAATTGAGATGGTGATGGCCACGGATATGTCCTGTCATTTCCAACAAATCAAAGCAATGAAAACCGCCCTGCAGCAGCCAGAAGCGTGAGTGGCCTGTGCCTTGATATGTTTTTATAGGTGTTTGAGCTGGTACTTGTCCATGTCGTTGCATCTTTAAGGCATACCTCTGGAGAACTTTCCTGAATGGTCTCATGAAGTGGGGGTGTTAGGAGGAGAGAGCCGTGAGAATTGTACGTATCACACATAGGTTGTCTTCAGGGTTGAAATAAATAATGGGGCCGGTAACAATTTGCCCCAATTAGAATTTAACATATTGTATTTTCCTCTGGACAGCTAAATGATCAAAGCTTGACTCAATGCAGGGGCACTCCATAAAAGTCAGTGAGTGACTCTTGGATTCTTGTTGTCTTTTTTAATGTGGCAGTCATTCCAGAAAGAATTTTGAGTCAACTTTTGAGGTGCCCAGCTCAGTAAACACGGAGACCAAGCCGACGAATAGGCCAGTTGTAGGATGAAATGAGGCTTTCCCCCCAGTTCAGCTGAAGTGGGGTTTGAGGTGGGAGAATGGACGGGATTAAAAAAATGAATGTTTTTAAAACTCTCATTGAGGTTCCGAAAGTTTAGTCATCGTGTGTTTGGGTCCTTTGGGGTTTGCAGAATCGAGAAGCCAAAAGCATTATCCTTGATGCTGCACACAGCAGACATTAGCCATCCAGCAAAAGCATGGACGCTTCATCATCGCTGGACCATGTCTCTCCTGGAGGAATTCTTCAGACAGGTACCTCTCGCTGTGCTCCTCCTCAGGGCTCATCACGGGATGTTTTCTGAATTTGGTGTTTTGGCAATGCTATGAGAAAGACTATTGAGATTACAGTAATATTTTTGGGGCGGGAGAGTTCCCAGCTCTTTCGTGTCTACCTCATGGTTGTGTGATATTTGAATATTACTGAAATTCTGATCATCAGGACATTATGGCATTTCTATCCGATGCATTTCTATTTGGAAAGAAAAAAGCATTTCCTTGCGGCAGCCTTTTGTCAACATGTCATCTGAGGAGCTCTTTTGTTTATTTGTTTTTCTAATGGATTGACCAAATGATGGCAATTTTGGCATTGCCCTGTGGGATTAATATGATAACCTTTAACTGGTGTGCCTGATATAATTGGTTGGGTTGCTTCTTTCCAGCTGGCAAGCCATGTTGTTTAATTCCAAAGCCAGATATGGCAATTTGGGGTCAGAAAATCACTAGAAGCTACTGTTCCAATTGAATTTAAAGATACTACATCCTAAGACACAGGGCTGTGTTTTCCAAAAGAACATCCAGAGTCTTTTATGACTATATGTTGCTTTAAATTTTTTTTAAATAAGGTACAGAGAAGTAGATAGAAAGCGAAATACATGTGTGGCACTAAGACTGATGTCTCCTCAAGAAGAGTTGCCATTAAAACATCTGCTTTGAGATGTGAGGTCCTGAAGTTACCGTGTCAACATAAGAGATTTCCAAACCTGTGGAGAATTTCTATGAGAGTTTATTTGGGCCAAACTGACAACAGTTCTGGGAAGCAAGATCTCAAGTGCTCTGGAAAATGAGTTTTGCAGTTTCTTTTATGCATTTGGAATTAAGGAGGGAAAGTAAGGAAGATTACATGAAGATGGGAGAAAGCAAGGCAGGGAAATCTCCATGATTGGATTACAGGCTAGTTAACTCTCTTGAGGGTGGTTGACTTCTGTGGGGTCTGACAAAGAGGCATTTCAAAGGTGTGTTCACCTAGATGCACAGAAACAATGGACAGGGCTGGCTTAAGGCAAAGAGAAGCCTTTTACTAAAGAAGATATACACTTTATGCCTGGGGCGGGACTACCACTATGACCTGCCCAGGTAGGAATTTATGATCAGATCATTCTGTGAGCTTACTTTTAGTTAGATTTATTACAGCACCCCTTTTTCATCCACAAAGGCAAGATGACATATAGGTTTTGGGACCTATATAACAGTTCATTTAAGTTAATGCAGTTAATTTTTATTAATTCAGGAAGGAAGTTCCCACCGTGGATTCAGACTTCTGATTTCCCATAAATAACTCCTGAACACCAGTCTCAACTTTGTCTCCCAAACTAGAGATATGCTCTTTCACTGGTTACTCAAATTTTTCAAGGAAATTATTCTTATGATTACTCTTATTCTTATAATTATGGTTTGAGTGCAGAAATTGTAGAAGGCATCTGTCTGTGTTTGTTTGTTTGTTTTTCCCTTCTGAAGCCGGGCATACTCTCTGGTAATGAGGTGGGACTGGAGTTAACAGCATACTAAACAAAGTCCAGAAGGCCCTTTATTGGTGATTTTATTCCAACTGGTTTGTGGCCTGGGACTCATCAAATCACTCCTCTAGTTCTCAGTGGTCTTATCTGTGATTTTTTTTTGGGGGGGGGGTGGTACTTAGAGGAAGGTTGGACCAGATGTTTTCCTAGGAACTTTCTAGCATTTAAATATTCTACATGTTTTTATATCTGTCCATGGTGCGTATCAACACGTGTATATACACATGCAAACCTAAACTGTTATATGAATATACCAGCAGGTACCTGTAGATGAAAAAGAAAAGTAACCTCACAGGGTGATCAGATCATAAATTCCTAATTGGGCAGGTTATGGTGGGTAGTCACGCCCCAGGCATATAACTTCTTTAGTTAAAGGCTCATCTTTGTCTTAAGCCAGCCCTGTCCATTGTTTTTGTGCATCTAGGTGAACACACCTTTGAAGTGCCCCTTTTCAAACCTCTCAGAAGTGAGACCACCCTCAGGAGAGCACATAATTTTGTTAACTATCCTATAATCCAATCTCCACCTTGCTTTCTCCCACCTTCCTGAAATCTTCCTTCATTCCCTCCGTAGTTTAAAATGCATAAAAAAAGCTGCAAACTGCTATTCTAGGAAGCACTTTTCTCAGTCAGTTGAGATCTTGCTTCCAGGTATATCCTCTGTTTGGCTCAAATCAATTGTTAGGAAAATTCTCTACAGGTTTGAACGTTCTTACCTTGACATGCCCTATTCAGCAGGTAGCTGTTTTTCTTTGCAAAGTCATCACTATTCTCACAGAGTAGTTCTCAAGGGGAACCCAGTGGTGTGGGAGTACCTAGAGCTGTACAGATGTGGCTCCATTGTATACACAAGAATGACTCTGCAAATTCATCCTTAATCAAGGGAGAAGTTTGAGCCATTTTCCCAGAAGTAATTTTTCGAATATTAGTAAGAGTATTTTCTCCAAATATCCACTCCCCTTAGCATATACTTTTTCAATAACACCCCTATAGGTAGGGGTATTTAATCTGCAACCAGAAGTAGATAGTTAACTCATATAAGTTTGAGGTATTGAAGTGATTTTCTCTTTTTAATTTGAGAAAGTGAATATGAGAAATTACTTAGATATGTGAATTTTTTTCCCCCATAAAGGAAACCTTGTTTGCATACACATATGCTTGAATTGAATGAAAATGTGCTAGCGGCAATGTGAAAAGAACTACATTGAATTTCTCAACTATTAGGAATGGAATGTTAGCTCACTGGACTGGAATGATTTTTTTTTAGTAATTATGATTCACTAAATTATTTTTATTGACTTAGTATTTTAACCCAGATGTCCTAAGCCATTGTAAATTAATCCATGTAGGAAAAATGTTGCCTCAGCTCTTAACTATAGATTTTAAATTGGACAGTTGAAATGGGAAATCTCAATGGGACTGTAGAGTCTTTGAAAAAATTACATTTGCAAGTTGGGTTATATTTCAAAATAAGGGCATAGCCTCAGTCCCAATACCAGACCTTCCATGCTTTATGAAAAGAGTAAGTTTCATCTTTAGTTTTATAGCCATAATTTACAAAATCCAAGCCACTGCCTCAGGGTGCTTTTCAATGAAATATTGACTTTAAGGAAGTATAAGTTTGCCTTTTTGGTAAAATACATGTCATAAAAGTCTTGAGGTTCATTTCCTTTGTATTGCTGTATAAAAAATATATATTTTTTTATATTTTGCAAACGTTTCCTGCAGTTCTTTTCAGTTCCTCTGTCTGTGGTTATTTTCTCATTTTTTAATTTCTAATTTCATATGTTAGTGTTTTTTTCCTTTCTTCTTTATAAAATCAGCTAATTGTTTTATTGTTTTCTTTTTTTAATTTTATGAAGCCTTAATTGGTGTTTTCATCCTTATTAATTCATTTCTTCTGCTCGAGTTTATTTTGTTCTTTTGCTGACTTCCTGAGTTGGGTGCTCAACTCATTTATTTTCAATCTATCTGTTTAATTAGAAAATATAAGGCTAGGAGTTTGTGTTTTTCTTTTCATGAATTGCAGAGGTTCTGATATACAGTATGTTCACAATCTTATTTTCTAAATATTCTGTAATTTTGGTTTAGATTTTTTTTTTTTTACCAGAGTTGCTTCAGGTAGATGTTTATATACTTTTCTAGTGTTAGGTTCCTTTACTTTCTAGTTTTGTAATTAATTTGTGGCTTATTTAAATTTGGTTAAATAATTTTTTTCATTGTTTGTATTTTATTGTGAAATTTGTTTGTCACCTACTATATAGTCAATTTTTGTGAATGTTCATGCTCTTGAAAAGTATATTTATTTTCCTACTTGCAGAGTACATAGAATTCAAAGAACACCAGGTACATCTACCTTATAAATTATGTCATTTATGTATTTTATATATCATTTTTTGAAATTTGATCTATCATGGGTTGAAAATATTGACCTCTTTAGTAAAGAGGAAAGTGTATGAATAATTCCACAAGGGCCAGTAGTTATAGAGTCATAAAATATAGTATCAATCAAGTTGGACTTACCTGTAGAAGTACATTTTTTCATATTACTTTCCGCACATTTTTTCTAATTCATAAGTCTGACTGTCCTCAAAAGGGAATTCAATGATCACTATTTTAGAATAGGCTTTTAATAGTTGAGTGTACTCAGCTCATTTAAATACAAAAGATGTAAATGATGTGTAGAAGTGGGTGAGGGCAAGCCCATGCATGGGATAGGAAGTTGTTTAATATGCACTTTTTCAGCAATAAAACCCAAATTAATGCTTACATCTTAATAATCAAGTAGGTAGTGTTCACCACCTCTTCCTCTAAACCACCCCCATTAAAATGTACCAACAAGACAACTTGCATCCGTGCTTTGTAGGGCATAAAAGTGGGTTTTATTTGTTTCAGCTGAGGTACCTCACTAACCCATCTGCGCCACTACAAGTTATGTTATAAATATTCTTCCTTCTCTTCATTCTGCCCAAGTAGAGATAGCTCAGGAATAAATCATTTTTATCATGTCACTTGAGAGAGAGAGTAGCCCCTACAAGGCACACTGAACCAACGAGGACCGTTTGTGTCCCAGAGGTTAGCTGTCCTGGGAAGGGCGGAGGAGGAACCGAGCCGCTTCAGGACTGATCTGGATTCTGGAGACCCTCGGATGTCTCCAGCGCCCGTTGTGACCTACTGTTCAGCTTCCTTTCAATAGATGTTAAATATGTGTGTGAGCTAACATCCTTTCTTTTGGGTAACCTGCCTTAGAAAGTAAAAACTTTCAGTTTTTGAACTGGGCCTGGTTTTTGAACTGGGTCGCTATCACTCTTTATTTACTATTAATTTATTGGTGATATTTATTATAACCAGCATGTATTCGGAGTAACAAATTCACTAAATATTTCTCCAGTCTTGGCTTCAATATTAGAGATACCCATTAGGAAACAATTGTAGTTCTTTTTACTTACTTACATACATTTTCTCATTTAATCCTCGTCATAAGTTGATGAGGTAGGGATCATTACTCCACATATTCAGCGGTTCTCAACCTGTGGGTCGCGACCCCTTTGGGGATCAAATGACGCTTTCACAGGGGTCGCCTAAGACCATCGGAAAACAAAAAGATATTTACATTACGATTCATAACAGTAGTAAAATTACAGTTATAGAGTAGCAACGAAAATAATTTTATGGTTGGGGGTCACCACAACATGAGGAACTGTATTAAGGGGTCGCGGCATTAGGAAGGTTGAGAACCGCTGTAGATCATAAAACTGAAGTATATATATAGAGAAAATAAACTTCCTACGATCACAGAGCTAATGGGAGAAAGGCTAGACTCAAGCCCAAATCAGCAGCCATGAACCTGAGTGGATTTTTACCTCGTTAAATGAATCAGCACAATGTCAGTGCTCTAAGAAGGGTGACACGTGTTCCCTTTCCTCGGGGTGTGTGGCTGAAGGGTTGAGCTTCTGGTTGAGGTTTTTAAAAACCATCTCCATCATGATGTAGAGTTTCCATAGCACTTACTTATTATCGTGATGCTTTCTGGTGATATTGAAAATATACTGGCCAGTGAATCATGTTTTATTATTGTCTAGCTTGATAAACACAAACAATTATTTGCTGCTGTGCTTCTTTTTGGGGTCTAGCTTTCATGATGGTCCAAGCCCTGTGGTTACGAACTCCCTTTGTGTGTGGTTGTAGGCAGCACAAGGAGAAGAAATTCAAATCAGGCCAGGTTGAATTTGTGTCTCGAACTCTGCCCACAGCTGGGAGGGGCTCACTGGCTTCAGAAAGGCCACAGGTCGACACTAACAACTGAAGAACACGTCAGAATGATGGCTGCCATGTTGGCTCTAGGCCAGGTGGCTTTTCTTACTTTCCTTAGGGGACCTGTTGCTGCCTGATGAGGCTTTCTATATGACAGCAAGCGCCTTTGCGGTTGGATGGAGTGATTGAGCCTCAGAGGGCTTCAGTCGCCTGGTGTCTAATATGAAGAGAAGAAGGCCCCATAAGGACCTATTACATAATATATTTGTGATCATTAAAATAAAGGCCAGTGGCCTTCATGGCAGCTGAAGTTGCCAGATAAAATCTGGGTGGCTCAGCCGACTGTCCTTAATTTACGATGACCTCCTTTTTTGCCAGGGTGACAGAGAAGCAGAGCTGGGGCTGCCCTTTTCTCCTCTGTGTGACCGAAAGTCGACCATGGTTGCTCAGTCGCAAGTAGGTACGTGTTTGCGAGCCCTTTGGATGGAAGGGAAAACCAGAGAGTGATGTCCGGAAGTAAGCTTGGATGCTCTCGGTGATTCTCTGACTTGGAACCGGGCTGCATGCTGCTGTGCTGGGCTCCTGGCTTCGGCTTGATAGATGATGGGGTTCTTCCCATCATTCTCCCTGGAGCGTGGCTGGTTTGTAGGGCGGCCCCATTTCCTGGAGGACCCCACTTCCAGGAATGCCTGGTTTTAAATGTTTTCTTTCTTTCTCCCTTCTTCCCTCCCGCCCTCTCTTCTTACCTTCCTCCCCCATTCCTCCCTCCCTCCCTCCTTCCTTCCTTCCTTCCTTCCTTCCTTCCTTCCTTCCTTCCTTCCTTCCTTCCTTCCTTCCTTCCTTC